CTATAGTGGAAGGGGGATGCACATAGTTTGGAGTCAAAAAAGGAGGAAAAGGAAAGAAGGAAGGGATTGAATCCAAAGAATAAAAGAATGAAAAAATGTCCCTTCTAGACATATTTATAGGAGCCAAGGGCTCAATAGCTAGCCCATAGCAGCTAGTAGAGGAAGGAGAAATTGATGGAGCACCAAGCAATGGAAAATAGGATCTCAACCACAATTGAGTGAACCAAAGAGGTCCACTACCAGTGGGAGATGCACTATTCTTCAATTGAGTTTGAAGAGAAGCCATGCCTCTATAAAGGGCAGCCAAAAAGAAAGAACATAAATTCAAAGGCCTGCCACGCGCCAATTCGTGCGCTATGGGTAAATAACTAAGGGAGGGCTTTATGCTTGGCACACACAAAACATATTTACAAAGCCAAACCAGAAGAAAAGCCACTCGCTCAGTATGAGAAGGCTCAGCGCTCGAATGATTATGAAGGGTTTGCAGGCTTGAATAAGACTCGGTGTAGTTTTTACCAAACCTTGGGGCGCCACCAGAAACCAAGATACCAGGAAAAATTGTATCGCCCAAAGGTGGTAGATTCACTAGGGTCCCAACATCCCTTAAAGTAATAGATATGGGGCCAAGAGGGAAAATAAAGGTATTATACTCGGAAGACCAAAAACTCAAAGCGATCGAAAAAAGTGCTGAATCAAAAGTCGGGGGTCGAATAGAGATTTTTAACAAATCAGAAATCCTAGCATTATCAAAAAGTGCCTTAGTAGGACCATGGCCCACAAGACGAGCATGCCACCTACGGAAAGCTACATCAGATTTAGGCCAAATGCGAATACCTCTTTCGCGAAGTGGCCCCAGCGGCAGAGAGTTTAGAAATGGAGGGCCTTGAGTACAAGGAAACAGCTGGCCCACCGTCGCCTGTTCGACTGCCTCTGCATTGTTGAAGAAAGGACCTAGGTAGAACTCATTGAGTTCGACATTGGCGGGCGCGAGAAAACTCGGAGTTATGTATGGACGACTCAGAAGTTTCTGAAAGTCATCAAAACTAAAGGAGTCGCCAGCTTGAGATTGTGAAGTAGCCATTAGGGATGAAATGGAGTTTTTTCAGAGTTACGTAGCAGGGAAGCAAAAGATGAATAATAAATCGTGGGAAAGACGCGAAAAAGTGAGGCGTGATTTAATGGTGCAGTGAAATGGCGTGTTTGGGGGTTATAAGGGTTTACAAAACGTCGCACCTTTTCAAGCTATGGAAGAAAACAATGATTGAAATTCTTGGAAATTTTGAATGTTGCTGGAAACACAATGTGAATATGGCAAAATTTAATAATTGGTATTAATTCTGCCATATTGGGGGGTAATTGTTGACACATAAAAATTCAGCCCAAATTGAACAGCCTAAGGAATGAAGCCCAATTGGAGGATCCCCAAATCAGATAGCCCGAAGAACGAAGCCCAATCAAACAATTCAAGATGAAGGCCCAAATAGGGAGGCCCAAGAACGTGGTAACACCATCGCCCAAGTTTGCAAATCGCCCAGAATCTGAGCGAATGGAGTGCCATGCAGTCGCCCAGAGCTTTTACTCTATTCTCGCCCAAACCTTCGAGTCGCCCAAGATCTTAGCAAACATAAAGTGTGGTGGTTATCAAGAAGTGCAGTTATCAAAGCAGTTATTAAAGCAGCCCTATCACGTTCCACGATTCAAGGAATTCAATCGAAAACGGTTGAACGACGAAGAATAATGGCAGCAGTTAAAAAAGGCAGTTCCATGACAAGTTGACCATTACGAGGAAAGTGGGCGGTTGTAGAACGATCAAACAGTTTTTAGGCGGTTGATCACAAAGAGATCATCCAGAGAGTATAAAAGGAAGAAAAGACATAGAGCAAAGCACCAAATCAAAAACTCTCGAACAGAGAACATGTAATTTTAATTTCCTTAACTTTGATTTAAACACTTCTTTCAGTAACTCGTATACTTGCGCCCCTTGGAGGCATTCAGTTTTTAATTTCCAATTATAAAGTCATTGCCAATAAAAGAACACCCCCTTTTTGGGACTTTGTCTCAAGAGGTTTGTCCCTTACACAATCGTCTGATCCCTTTTAATTGTTAGCGACGAACTCGCGCGAAACAACTTGACTCAATTTTAATCACACATTCTCTATTAAAATAGTATTAAACGCAAATCTAAAACTTTTCTTTATTTTTTAACCATACATTTTCTATCAATACACTATTCAAAAATGCATTTTTTGTTTTTTTTTGTCAAAAATAGGGCTCAAACAAGGGCATAATGTGTTGACTAAATTGTTTTCACTGCCATTTCATGAGAATAAAGAATATTGATTCATCGACATTGCTAATTTATAAGCCTGGTATGAGCCCGGTTTTTCTAAAACTTATTTTCAAGCACAAATTTTCCCATAAAAAAATTTTACACAACAAAAATTTTTCCATACTTTTTGAATACACATTATACAAAAAATCAGTGTTCAAAAACACATTTCTCCCAAAAAAAGAAAAAAAAATGGGGCTCAAATAGGGGTTAAATATTACTATAAAAAATTATTTTTTGACCGACACAAAAAATTTATTGGTAAATAAAAAAATTGAAGAATTCTTATGTTTATAGAAGTATAAGAGCAACCCAAAGAATTCTCTAAATACAAGATACTTCTATTTAAGAGAGCCAATACTCAAATATAAACCCATTAAACTCTCTATTTTGATCTCTTCTCTCTCTTTTTTTTTTCCATCTATTTTTTATTTTTTACAATAGACTCTCTATTCTTACTTGGCAATTATTAATCTTTAAAAAATAGAAATATTTTTTAAAGCCAATGAATTTTCTTCCAAAATTTTGATAGGATTTCTCCCCTGTTGGCGTTGTGTTTTTTCACAAGTTCTTTACATAAAAGAAGTGAAATGGAGTTTTCGTCATTATTTTGGTCGGAAAGTATACTTGAATCCGTAAATTCTAAGATTTTCAAGAATGCTAACCTTTAATTGCACCTAGATCTAAAACCTTCTTAGAAACAAAAATTGGATCTTATATTTTCAATCATTTATTAGATGTGCAAATGACACTATTTATAGATTTTTTTTTTCTTTTGGTCACTTTTTATGAGTTGATGTTCTCTTGTTATTATGTTGGACATCTTGATTACGTCCAATTTATAAGATTATTGTTGAGTTTTGTTCTTTTGTGATGTTAGTCATGTAGTTCTTTGTCATCAATTTATAGTAGAAGTTCATGCCAAATTCGTAAGTATACGGGATTGTTGACATGTAATATTTTGATAAGAGAAGTATCGTCTCACAAGGAATAAATTTTAAAGAAAATTTTATTAATTTGTAATCAAATTCGAACGTACGTAAACAAAAAAATATAATTTTGTCATAATCTAAAATATTCTACGATTTGTTTAAAGATTGTTTTTATGAATTATGGGATGAATGAATTGGACTTATGAATTCAGTTATTGTAATTCTATTTTTAATTCTAGGCCTATGTGATTTAGTGTAAATTATATGTTCTTGATAATCGATAATTCAATTATATCTAACTATCTCTCTCAAGATAAGTTAAACATATTCTAAGCATGATTCAAAACATTTTTATTCTGAATACATATACAAAGTAATACATTCAATTACACAATTATTTATATGATTGTACACATCATATATTTTATCTCCAATATTTATTGACCTATATTGACATTGCAATATGTTAAACTTCTTGTTAAACTCTCAACACTATAACTAATTACAGTGGTTAAGCAATCAATTAATGCAAAATTCTTGCAAGATTAATAAAAACTTCTTTTGATGACTGTTCATGAAGATGAGACAAAGCTTGATGTCAATATACTGCACAAATACACAAAACAGCTCATCTTTAAATTAAAAATAATTATACAAACGTTTCATCTTTATCCAATATAAGAAAATGTACCTTGCATGTTTTTAATGATTATACAAAAATCATCGCTTGGAGTGTGTATGAGTACAAGAAATCCTGATATTCATTTCCAAGCTTTAATTTTCAAATTCTTGATGTAATTTTCTTGCAATTCCTCACAAGGTTTGATCTTCTCTCCAAAATATGGTGGTTTAGCCCCCTCTTATTAGATTTTGTGATATGAATTGATTTAAGAGGTTAGAGTCAGGTCCCCCAATCTTTACCCATGTTTTGGATTTATATTGGCCATATGTTAAGTGAAAATTGCATGAAAATTAGTTTTCAAAAGAGTTAAAGAGTTTCAATCAAATATGAAAAATTGTTCGTGCCAGTGTGAAGAAATCCATGTGATTGCATGGACATACCCCAATAATCACATATGCCTGATGAATTGGCATCGGTATTTCAAGAAACAAGGGTTGCAATCGCAACTCTTTGCACTTCGCACCCTTATGATCTTCCAGGGTTTGCGTTTTGATCCTCAAATCTTGTCCTTTGTTTAGTTGATTCCTTGCTTTGAGCAATTCTCATATTTTACCTTCTAATTCCATCCAATTGATATCTTGCATTCTTAATTCATCGTTTCTGTTTATAATTTAGTCTCTAAACTTTGGAAATCTTTCTTTTTTGTCATTTTGCATTCCTTTCTTTAAATTTAACTTTTCAAACATCAAGTTTGTAATAACCATGTCAAATAAATAAATAATAGTCAAACCTAAATTTTGGGTCAAGACTCAAGAATGTCACGCTAAGGAAGGAAAAACAAAACCAGAAAAAAAAAAAAAAAGGAAGGTGGGGGAGGGAAAGCAAACAAAATTTAAGAAGTCAGACGGTGGAGTTGGAACTTCTAAACAATTGATATACATCAAAAAGAATCCAAATCCACCTCTTCACACCCTTATCATCTTCTGGATGTTCACATCTTTAAACCTGATCTCTTCCAAAGTAGTACTATATGATCAATGATATTACCAACACTTATAGGTACATTTCTTTCTCTGACTGTCCTTGATTCATTTTCATTTGTAGCTAGCAAGTAGCAATGGAGAACCAAAGCAGCCAAAGAAACCTCGATCCTCTGCATAATCATGGCATTCGTATCACAACCCCTCAAGGCCCAGCTCCACCCAAAATCCGTCGCTCTGATTTTCCCAAAGATTTTATCTTTGGTTCTGCAACATCGGCTTATCAGGTGTGAAGGCTCATGCACTTGTATTTAAATTCCTTGTGTTCTTCCTAATAATTTTGGGGGGGGGGGGGTGTAAGTGTAATGCCCTAGATCCAATCGATTTAGGTTGTAAACGCTTTTAATATATTGAACAAACACTGGGTTTAGTTGGACGAAATTGAAAATCGAAAATATTATTCAATGAAAATGAAAAAAGAGAAAGAAACTTAAATTAATTTAGATGGTCACTTAGCATCTCTACGCAAGGTTAGAATGCTCAACGCACATGCATGCCCCCCTTTTTCTCTTTTTCTGCTCTTCTCTCTGCAGTCTACACTATCGGACATAAATTTATGAGCGAATTTTTCACCCAATACATAATATTATTCAATGCAGCCGACCAATTAAAAATATTAATTGAGTGAAATCTAATATGTAATTCGTTTTCTGGGCCATATGTGTAATATTCGCAGGTAGAAGGTGCCTGGAATGAAGATGGTAAAGGCGAGAGTAATTGGGATCGTTTCACATCGGATAATCCTGGTTTCCTCTCTCTCTCTCTCTCTCACACACACACGCCTCACACAAACACGTGTATGTATGTATCCATTTTTGAGGGATTTTGTTGGGATGGCAGAAAAATTCAAGATCAAGGCAATGGACGTTTGGTTATTAATCACTACCATCAGTGGAAGGTACTTCACCATTGCATGTTTATTCCAACTTTAACATTTGATGGGACTTATTTAATTTAAACTTCTAACGTTCTAGTGTAAATAACACTTGACTTAAATTAATTCGGGAACTTATCTTTCTCGCTTGAAATAAAATAAAATGCTTAATAAGATAGACTTAGACCAAATTATTTATTGAATAATAATGGGAAAATAATATATCAACACATAAGTTCACTTACAGGTAAAAAATTGTTTATAGGTAAGTTTTTAGATGCGGAAAATCTTTTATTTAGACGAATAATAAGTAAGAGCGTTAACTTATGGAAGCTGTTACACTTACAGGGTCTGTTTTATAGACCCTGCAAAATTCCTCACAGTTGTGGGCATTGGCAGTTTTTTTTTTTTCCTTCATGTGAGACTGGCCCCTACAAGTGAGGGGTTGGTAAGATCCCTGTAGGAAATTGTTTTGTACACAGAGCAATTTCTCTAACTTATAAGTAAACATGTAAGTTTAAAATAAAATAACATTTTTTATTGATCTAAGTTAAAAATTAGGCAATTTTTTTTTTTGCACAAATTAAATGTTAAATTTTGGAAATACTAATTTTTTTTTTTTTGAAATAAGGGTGTGTTTGATTGACATGGAAAATATTACCTAGAAAGAAAAATATTTTCCATCTTTTGTGGAAAATAAAAACCACCTCTACCCAAGGAAAATATTTTCCTTAAAAACAAGGAAAATTAGGCATATTTTCAAAAGTTGGAAAATGTTTTCCATGGAAAAAAATAGCAATCAAACACTCAAAGTGAAAATTTGGATGGAAAACTGATATTTTCCATGGAAAATAAATTTAATCAAACACACCCTAAGAGAAAAGTACGTTATCAAACATATTTAGAGACAAAAATTGTTTTAAATTAACTTTACTTCACTTTTTAAAGCTAAATAAAAAAACACTATTATAAATTTTTATTTTTCAATACTTAAACGTTCTTTGATGAGGTGTAGCATAAAATGCTCTATTATAACACTACACTATAATCTACCATAGTATAATCTTTCTAATCCTATCCTCAACAAATCATAATCCATCTAATCTTTCCCCTTAACACTAAATTAATGCAACCAAAGTAATTTAAATTTAATTGTTTTATAATCATATTTTAAGCTCCATTACTTATAAGTTAATAAGTTAAGCTCCAAACATAATAAAAGCATAACTCGAACATAACTTTTTCAATCTAGTTTCATTGGACTTCAATGACGACCCCGTCCTTTATTAATTTCCATTTTCAATTTAGTTGTTGTGTTCCATAGTAAGAAGAAAATATCAAGAGGAATTCTCTTTAATCATTTTCAATAATGTCACAGGAAGATGTTGCTTTGATAAAGAAAGTGGGTTTTGATTCTTATAGATTTTCAATTGCTTAGACAAGAATATTAACGGGTATGTCTGAATGCATACATGTAGTGCATCATTTTTTTAATAAAAAATAATAATCAATCTTTTAGTTGTATTTTAAATTGGTATTTCAGGAGGAAGATTAAGTGTTGACACGAGTACATGTAGTGCATCATTTTTTATTTTTTTTTAATCAAAAATAATAATCAATCTTTTAATTGTACTTTAAATTGGTATTTCAGGAGGAAGATTAAGTGCTGGTGTAAACAGAGAAGGAGTTAATTACTATAATAGTCTTATAAACGTGCTCGTGGCTGAAGGTGGAGCTTTTTATCTTTAACAATTGGTGTTTGTTTCTATTTGAAAAATCTTTCCTTGGATTCTTATAAACTATTTTACAGGCATTACACCTTGTGCAACTATCTTTCACTGGGATGTTCCCCAATGTTTGGAAGAGGAGTATGGTGGCTTTTTAAGCCCTCAGATTGTGTAAGTAATTGAATATTGCATAACTAGGCAGAAATTACTTGGGAGTTTCCAGAAAATGAAAGCAAATTCAAGGGAAAGAAGGATATTTTTTTCAGAAACTGGATTTATTGTACGAAAATTGAGTAAGCTAATGTTGTAGTTAAAAGGTATTACACCGTAAAACTTATTTTCATACATTATTGTATCGCAGGGAAGATTTTTCCGATTTTGCCGAGATTTGCTTCTGGGAATTTGGTGATCGTGTGAAACTTTGGATCACATTGAATGAGCCATGGAGCTTTGCTGTTTCTGGATATGCGTTAGGTATTTTTGCACCTGGCCGGGGTCCAACACAAGATGAGAATGTAACAATAGCTGTCCATCGTCATAGATGTAATGTTCAGGATAAAAATATTTGCGGCGAGGGAAATCCAGGCACGGAACCGTATATTGTCGCACATCATTTGATCCTTGCACATGCAGTAGCAGTTGATATATACAGGAAAATCATTCAGGTTGTTGTTTTTATCTTATGCAAGCAATTCTTTTCACTTTTGAGATTTTGTATTAGTTTATGCAAATACATTTGTACAGAAACTTCAAGGGGGCAAGATTGGGGTCACAAATGTCACAGCATGGTATGAGCCACTCAATAACACAACAGCTGATAAAGAGGCTGCTTCAAGGGCAGTTGATTTTGCGTTGGGATGGTAATTGCCAATTATATTTTGTATATCTTCTCATAAATAAGAATAGCGAATCATTTTACGGAAATGGGCAGACTTTAAGTGAGACATAAAATGACTTCTAATCTAGAATTTCTCTTCCTGGTCGTAAGTCTCAATCCTGTTTTTGTGCTTTTTCAGGTTTGTAGCACCCGTGGTTACTGGTGATTATCCACCAGTTATGAGACGATTACTAAGAGACCGCCTTCCCAAATTTACACAAGAGCAGGTTACTCTGGTGAAGGGATTCTATGACTTTTTAGGAATAAACTACTACACTACTCATTATGCAACAAATGCACCAAGGCACCTGGTGCAAAACCATGTTACAATAATGATCACGAGGTTCAAACATCAAGTAAGTATGAGATATTTTTAAAGTACGTGATGACATCATAAACTTTTTGTGTCAATACACTCTTGTAATGTGGTTCTCACTCTCACATAACACTGTAGCTGCACGTAATGGGATGCCGATAGGTGAACAGGTATGTTTTTCACTTTTCCCTTTCCTCACAATAAAATCAGATAATCCAACAATTTATGCTTACCCATAGAAGAGATTTCAATGATTTATTCTAATGCATTACTGCAACAAGTTTCTAGTATAATTTTAATGTCCTTGATTTTGTCAGGCTGGTTCTAGTTGGTTGTACATTGTTCCAGAAGGGCTTTACAAGCTCTTGGTTCATTTGAAAGAAAGATACAATAATCCCAATATTTACATCACAGAGAATGGTAAATTCACAGCGTCTTTTTAGAATTTTTTTCTACAGAAAATATCTTTTGCTCTTTATCAGTAATAATGCTATTTAATGGATGATTTTGTGCAGGAGTGGATGAATTGAACAATAGAACAACAGTTGCACAAGCCCGGTTTGACTATATGAGGGTTAGATCTCACCATGACCACCTTCTCCAAATTAAGAAAGCATTGGAGTAAGTCATCATTCATATAATTATTGAATCAACCCAAATATTAACTTGCGAAATTGATTGACTATCTCATAATAAAATGAATGTTCATAATTTCGCTTTCGTCTTCAGCCATGGTGTTCGTGTGAAGGCTTATTACCTATGGTCAATGTTCGACAATTTTGAATGGGCCGATGGATACACGGTTAGATTTGGTATTATTCATGTAGATTTTGAGAATAATCAGTTGAAAAGGTTCCCGAAAAGCTCTGCTTTATGGTGGATGGAATTCTTGAACGTGATGAAGGTAAAGAAGCAGATCAAGAAGAAGAAGAAGCACAAGTTCCTTTTGTTCTGAAATGTTATGTTGAATAATGCAAGAATAGATGGATGCGTGCGTGCAACAGTCCCTTTTGTTCGCTTGTAGCTTGTTGTGGGGATCGAAAGCTCGGTTTCTGCAAACGAAAGATTTTGAGTGTGTTCCAGTGTCTATGGTTTGTGGAATAATGCATGTTTGGATGCGTTGTGTTCGTATATAAATGTGTGTGCGAATACTATTGTAATTGATGTAACGAGTTTAGGTTGTGAAATTGTGTCTTTCTGTTTAGAAATTCTATCACTTCAAACGAAAACATATGCGTTGGTCACTTCACTTAATTGGGACTGAACCGTTTTCACTGCCATTTCATGAGAATTAAAGAATATTCATTCATCGACATTGCTAATTGAGTATTACTATAAAATATTATTTTTTTGACCTAAACAAAAAATTTATTGATAATAAAAACATTGAACAATACTCATGTCTATAGAAATATAATAGCATATCAATACAATATATTTCTATTCTAGAGAGTCAATAATTAAAAATAAACTCCATAAAACTCTCTGTTGGTATTAACAGTCCCAATAATTCAAAGAAAGTACAGAAATATAAAAGAACACGAAGATTTTTTCTCCCGAAGGCCCGGATGTCCACCCAAAAGGGCTACGTCACCACGTTGAGCTTCCACCAAAGTGGTTAACACTCTAATCCCCTAGAAACCAGCAATAGAGTATCAATACAAAGTTTACAAACTACAAATCTAAAAAGATCAACCCTCAGACCCTATTTTTTTCCTCACAGATCGAACAGACAGATTAAACCCAAGTAATCGACCCTCACTGTTAAACCAAGAACAAATACAATCTCTACACCAAATACACAAACCAGATCTCACCAAGAACATTTAATGATTCAGAGATTAAAATAAAAAACTAGAGGTTTTTCAAGAGAGAAAATTACAGAGAGCAAAAATGAAAAGCTAAACCCTACGAGTCTCTCGAATGAATGGTAAGTGAAAAGTCTAGGGCCAAGTATAGTGGAACGTCATTTGCATCCAACGGTTCAGCCGGCTCCACTTGACACCATCTGGTCCATCCAATTAAAACAAACTAAAATCGCATTTAGAGGAAACACGACTTTGCACAAGTGGGGGCAAAAACCAGGTCACAAAACTTGGGCTCAAGTGTTGGGTTCCATCATTGGGCCTGAAAGGTGTTAAGCATTTTATTTAACACTCTCTATTTTAACTTTTTAAAATCTAGAATATCAAACTCAATCTCCATTCTTACTTTGTAACTATTAACCGTAAAAAAATAGAAATTTTTTTAAAGCAACAGTAGAATTTTCTTTCAAAGTTTTGCCAGGATTTTTCCCCTTTTGGGAAACTTTTGGCTGTGTTTTTGTACAACTTCTTTGTATAAAATAAGAGAGATGGAGTTTTAGGCATTATTTTGGTCGGAAAGTACACTTCAATCCGTAAATGTTAAGATTT